ACCAACTGGGATTAGGTCAAGGCTGGGGCTCTGGCAGTTCTTTTAGTGCTCTGTCAAGAATAAAAAAAAAAAAAAAAAAAAGAATAAGATCAAATTCTGTGGGTGGTTCTCATTTTATCTTATTGGTTCAATCAACATTTGGGAAGCAGCGAATTTACTAAGACTTCTAAACTGTACTTTTCTGGTTTCCCCCCCAAATCTTGTATCCTTAAAAGAAAACACATGTACACAATGGTTTGGGAAGATTTTCAACCTCCATATCTAAGGATAATTTAAGAAGAGTTCAGTTTGAAAAAAGGGGGATAGAATGAATGACCTCCTTAAAACTTACCTTTCTGTCAGTCTAAAGCATTTCAAGTCCTAACCTGATACTAAAGTACGTGGGAGGTATTGGTAAGATGGGATATTAAGTAGTTAACTCATATCTATTTGTGAGTTATAATTTCCATCTATATTTATGATTCCAAAAATAAAGATTTAATTTTTAAAACTAGTTTAATGGCCTGGAATTGTTTTCGAACAGCTGGAAATCTTTTGCAGTAACATCAAAGGTGATTACTCCTTCATGGAAAGAGATCACGGGGTTTGTGTCTTTTGGCTTGATGTTAATTCAAACATTTTTCCCCCCAGAACGTGTGTGTGTGTGCATGCACAAATAATAATTAAAAAAAATAATTTTCCCCCTGAATTCAAGGACTATGAAAAAGCTTTAAATGCCCCCATAGGGGAGCTCAAACCCAACAATGCAAGCATCTGACTTTATGTTTCTCCCTCAAAAAGATGAGAAGGACACAGGGGAACGTTTGCCTATTTTTATCCATGAAACAAGGTCACTTACACTATGTTATGCCACTTAAATCAAATTCTTATCTTTTAAAATGTTTCTATGTAATATACATTGGGTCTTATTTTTGCTATAGTTCAAGAACGACATGGGTTCTGAACTATTATTTTTGTAGTTTATTATAAGAGTGAATTTTTGGTTGCCATTTCTGAAATAAATACAACTACTAGAGCACTAGCATTCTGATTAAAAAATCTGACTACATTAGAAGAAAATTAACCTTTTCCAAAAGCCACTGTTCTAAACAATACTTTGAATCAAATGAGCTTTAAATTTTGTAACTGCATTTAGACTTTTTAGAAGGATTGCAATACCCCTGTGATCTATTTTTTCTTTTTTTAAGAAAGAGTTAAATAAAATGTAGGAAAAGTAACTATGAAAATTAAAAAGGAGATCCTAAATAAAACTAATTTCTCTAACTGAAACGGCTTTTATAGTAACATTAGGTTCAGAAATCAAAGTAGAAACTGACTTTATTATAAGTAGTTTTGATATTTTCAAAGCAAAATATTAGGTTCTAATAATATCCAGTAAAATACATGTTTTCTGTTGGAATTCTCCATGATACATTTATTTATTCATTTATTTCACATTTGACAGGCACTTACAATGTGCTAAACAGAAATTATGAGAGTGGGGCTGGAAGCTGGTATAGAAAAGTACCATGTCTATTGCATACAAAAGATGGTTCAAATATTAAGCACTTTATATAATGCTAAACTTTTGGATGGAAATGAGAGTGCACAGGATTTTCAGTCTACAAACTCAAATATGCTATATATCCTATATAATAAAAGAGTAATATGCAAATTGACCATCACTCTAACACAAGATGGCTGCCCCCATGTGGACACAAGATGGCTACCACAAAATGGCCAGTGGGGGAGGGCAGTTGGGAGGGACTAGGCCTGCAAGGGAGGGCAGTAAGGGGCAATCAAGCCTGCAGGGGAGGGCAACTAAGGGTGACCAGGCCAGCAGGGGAGGGCAATTAGGGGCAATCAGGCTGGCAGGAGAGCAGTTAGGCATCAATGAGGCTAGCAAAGGAGTTGTTAGGGGGTGATCAGACTGGCAGGCAGAAGCTATTAGGGGCAATCAGGAAGGCAGGCAGGCAAGAAGTTGGGACCCAGCAGTACTGGATAGTAGGATAGGGCCTAAATGGGCAGTTGGACATCCCTCAAGGGGTCCCAGATTAGAGAGGGTGCAGGCTGGGCTGAAGGACACACACCCATGTGCACAAATTTTGTGCACCAGGCCTCTAATTCTTAATTTTTTCTCAATTTCTTAATTTGGTATCCAGGTCCTGACCCCACCAGTTTGTAAAAAGCTTCACTTCTGGAATTCTGGGGTTCCTTCTCACTTTGAGGTAAGGTTGAGGTGTTGGGGCCTGTTATGGATTGAATTGTTTCCCCTAAAAAGTAAAATCAGAATGTGACATTACTTAGATACAGGGTCATTGCAGACATAGTCAAAATGAGGTTATAATGGAGTGAGATGCGCCCTCAATCCAATGTGACTAGTGTTCTAGAAGGAAATGAGAGAGACACATGGGGGCAAGATAGCAATTGATGATGGGAGCAGAGATTGGGGTGATACATCTGCAAAACAAAAAACTCCAAGGAGTGCCAGTGCCTGGTGGAAGAGGCAGAGTGGTCCTTCTCTATGGTTTTCAGAGGAAGCATGGCCCTGCTGACATCTTGGTTTGAGACTTCTAGTATCCAGAAATGTGAGACAATAGCTGCTCCTTTTTCTAGGTCACCAAGTTTGTGGTACTTTGTTAGGGAAGTCCTAAGAAAAGAAAACAGGGCCTTATACCATGCAAGGTGCCAGGATGGGATGGCAAGGCATCTAATCTCTGGTCTTCTGGTCATATAGATAGACTAGAGGCCCACTGCATGAAGAGATTCATGCAATAGGCCTGCTTTCCCTTGGCTTCTAGCACCAGTTTTCCTCTCACACCCGGGACCCAGGCCTTCGCTCCGGCCAGAGTCTGCCTTCTTCGTCTTTGCTGCAGACTCGGGCTGGTTTGTCTTCACTGCTTTGCTGCAGACTCCGGCTGGAGTCTGCCATCTACCTCTTCATCTAGTCTTGTCTATGCTGCAGCACTCTGCTCCTGTAGGTCCTTCATCCCCTATCCCCGTTGGAGCAGCTGGGTGGCCACCATCTTTGGCCTTCTAATTTGCATACTCATTCTGATTGGCTGTGGGCATCGTGGAGGTGCAGTCAATTTACATGTTTGTCTATTATTAGGTAAGATGCTGAGCTAGCATTCTTTATTCACAACCATCCACCCCATCTCACCCCAGATAAAGAGATCCCTGCTGTTTATATACCATTCTTGGGATTTGGGTACTTTTTAGCAGGCAGAAACCTCTGAAATCTTCTCCTGGTACATCAAGTGGCCATCACTAAAGCCATGACAAATCCTGGTGCTTCCTTACTTTCTGTTCTAGCCCCATCCTCCTGCTTGCTTGTCCAGGTAACTCTGTTTCTTCTCTCAAAGCTTGTGTTCCCATTACCTTTTCCTCAAGTCTTGTGAATTCTCCTAAGGGGTTGGGCTTTTGTAAAACATCAGGGAGGGAGTCTTTCTCTGCCTGCACCCTGCCCCCCTTCCCACCATGAAACCACAAGCAATGGAGGAGAGCCTGGTACATGTAGATTGGGGATGAAAAAAGTAAGTAGGGAAAGCCTATACAATAAACTATCAAACTATTACTTGGCCACACAATGATGAACAAGGCTACATAAAGTTATCCAGTGAGGTTTCTAAACTATCGCCAGTCTTGTTATGTCCGAACAGTAAATTAACTTTAGCACATTGGAGCTGAGCCAAGAGATCAAGAGAGCAGTTTTTAATGCAATGTTTCAGCGATGGAGAACCATTAATGGGTCTCCCCAAGATCACATTTTAGGATATTTTTGCATGAATAATTGACTGATTCAACCATATATGCATTACAGATCACCAGATGACAGTTACATTGGTTTTTAAGATAGACAAATTAACCAAACACAACAAATTAAGACTAGTTATCTTGGCATTCATAAATCAATGATTCCAAACCTGGCCCAGAATTCTTCCCTAGACATTGCCAAATGGAATAAAGGCAGGGCATGTGTAGTTTCTAATATTTCCTGGGTAATTCTAGCCCATTTTGGGGAAGCACTAATTTAAAAGATAAAATTAATTAAATTATCTGAACAATGATTATAATATATGTATGGCCCAAATAAGCACATATATTTAGTATTATTTGGATACTGTCTTCTTTCATCTGCATAACCTTTGCTCTAGCACAGTGGTCAGCAAACTCATTAGTCAACAGAGCCAAATATCAACAGTACAATGATTGAAATTTCTTTTGAGAGCCAAACTTTTTAAACTTAAACTTCTTCTAATGCCACTTCTTCAAAATAGACTAGCCCAGGCTGTGGTATTTTGTGGAAGAGCCACACTCAAGGGGCCAAAGAGGGGCATGTGGCTCACGAGCCAAAACTTGCCAACCATGAGTCTAGCAGAACTAGTTTAATATCCTTATTTTTAAATCCACAATTAGTACTTAAAAGAAATTCATTGGCTTCTTGGACAAAAATCTTTACTACTGTCTTATCTGGCTGGTAGGAAGATTTCTTGCCATTTGATAAGAAATCTTATTACCCCAGGCGTTTGAAAGTCTATGGAGACTTCAGTTGACATTATCTAGTCCTCTTAATTTAACACTATTAGCATTTCTAAAACGAATCATCAAAGTATTCTAAATTAATTATGCTATTTGCTAATAAAGATGTTTAATTTTCAATGGAAGGATATCTTTAACATACCTGCTTCAATACAAGAATCTTATCTGCTTCAGCAAGTATGTGAATGTGTGTGTGTGTGTATGTATGTGTGTGTGTGTGTACAATAAGGTGCGTCTCACACTCCTTTTCACATTCCTGGCTCAGATGTACCAATCATGATGTACCAATAATATACCAATACAATGACAAAACTAGGCAAGATAGGAAAATTGCTTACCTGTATGTGTCTAGTAAATTCAGAACAGACAGTTGATCTGGTCGATTTAGGAAACATAAAACAGAGTCTATCCAGGAGGGAAAGTTTCCTAGATAATTCAGTTAAGATAAAAAAAAAATACATCCTGAAAAACACCTAACATAAAGGCACTGTCTAGTTGATTGCAGAACAAGAAAGACTGTTTATTGAGGGACATAAGGCAGGGCCCAGCTCAGAAAGGCTGAGTGCTGGTGCATAAGGCTTCCAGAAAAGGAAGGAAGGAATGCTAACCAATCCAACTTCCTGGAGCTTATCACTTCTCCAGAAGTTGTGGTATTTAGAATTGCTTGTGTAAGAAGTAATAAAAACCTGGCAGGCTGGTACCTGTTAAGCTGCTGACATACGTTGCCCATACAGTTTATAGGCTGGTTCTGTGTTCGTTCAGGGTGGCCAGGTTAGCTACACAGCCCGGGTGCTAGCAAAACAAAGTAAAGTTTGGAAACAAAATCAACTCTGACCTCAGTACCACCTCCTTTTCTCTCAACTTCTGATCACGGGTGATGCAACTTTCGTCTGGAGGCAGATGCTGGCTTCTGGGATGACATCAGCTTGGTGCTTTGAAGTGCTTTGCTTGTCTCTTCTCATGTGGCTGTTTTTTCCACACAAGTTTCCTTGCTACATAGCTTCTTTGCTTTGGTTTACTTTGCTATTTTGACCTAAATCTGTTTCCTTTGTTCTTCACTGGTCCTCAGAGACTCAGCATTGGTTACTCTGATGTGATCTGGGTGTAAATACAGTGTATGAGAGGAGGAGTGAAGGTTTTTACAGCAAATGCTCCCAAAAGGTATTTCTGAGAAGGTGGCTTACTGAGTCTTTGTCACACAGATCCTGCCCATTTCCGTGTGAACACTACTGAGTGTTGGTTTCTTGCTTGGTTTGGGGCATATCTGAATGTTTCCATTTGGTTTAGTAGGTTTTTAGTAGTAGATTTATTCTAAAATTATTTCCTAAATATAATGAAAACAATAACAGTATATTTTTAGCAAATCAGTGCCACTTATCAATTTTACCCTATAATTTGTAAATATAAGGCTGGTAGAAATTGTGAAGCAGGTTAACAGAATTGGTGTAGGTGGTGAACTGACAACCCTGGAGTATACCATTTATACATTTGTCTGTGTAATGGCAAAGTGACTCACCTTCCTACTTGGAAAATTTAATCTCAAAGGAAGAGTTTTCCAAAATTAGATTCATGTGGGGGTGGGGGGTGGGGTGGATCCTATGGAAATCAGAGAAGCTGGTCACCATTAAAAAACACAGTATTGGTAAATTATATTCTCACATTAGAGCTGAAAGTTGTTGTTTTAAAAAGTTTTTATTGATTTTAGAAAGAGAAGGGAGAGGGATAGAGAGCTAGAAATATTGATGAGATAGAAACATCAATCAGCTGCCTCCTGCACACCCTCCTACTGGGAATTTAGCCCCCAATAATGGCATGTGCCCTGACTGGGGATCAAACTGGTGACCTCTTAGTTCATGGGTTGATGATACTAAACCACTGAGCCATTCTGAGAGCTGGCAGTTTTATATGCTCCTCCATTTGAACATATTTCACTTCTCTTTAAATGGTACTTCCATATCTTGCTATGCCAGCAACCTGGGAATTATCTTTGACAGCTCTGTTTCTTTGCTTCCATTGTCAACCTATTACCAAATGTGGTTGTTTCACCCTCCAAAGTACATTTTGAGTCTGTCAAGTTTTATCTCCCTTGCTGCTACTTTTTGCCTAGACTTAACCTCTACCTGGTCCTCTTGCTTTCACACTTGCCCCCTTCCCAATAAATTCTGTATAGAGAAGCCAACAGGATCTTTTGCATGTGAATTTCTATTTTCATCAAAATTGTAAATGTGCATAAAGTGTCATAATCTTATAATTCTTATACCAACTACTCAGAAATATCAAAGAGCTGTCTCTTCTCCATCCTCCATTCTCAGTCCCCATCAGTAACAACTTTCACCCCTTTTACTTGTTCCCTAGGCATTTCTCTATATTTCTAAATTACCTGTTTATGCAGCTTTTACTTGATTTTTCTGTTTTAGATATTATCTTCTGATGTTCTCTTTACCATAGAAGATAAACATTTCACTCTCTTAAACACCCCTACCCTTCTTAGTCCCAAGACATCTTCTTCTTTTTTTTTTTTATTTGTCCTAATTTTTTTTAAAAAAATCAATCTTTATTGTTCATATTGTTACAAAGGTTCCTCATTTCTTCCCCCCTTCACCAGGTTCCCACCCCACCCTCTGCCCCCTCCCCATCCCCCATTGTCCTCATTTATAGGTGCAGTTTATGTTCAGTCTCTTCCTCCCTCCCTTTCCCCAATAGTAAATCCCTTTTCAGATAGTAAATCAGTTACTTAGCATTTTCTCATATCAATAATACCACCACATGCCCAATGATACATTTCACACAAAAGACATTTCCAAATAGGTCAACCAGCCTCATCCAGGCCCCACCCAAGGCACTCACAGATCAACACCCCAGCCCTATACTAACTCAACACATCCATATCTAAGCCTTCATCACTTGATTTAGCAGACCCTCAAGTTCCCACAAAAGTTTCCAGCCATGTCTGAGAGGCAGCCGTGGGGCAGGAGCAGGCGAGAAGCGAGCTGTTCCGGGCCTGGCTGCTCCGGGCCTGGCCTCTGTTGCTCTGGTTCGTTCCACAACCAGCTGCTCTGGGTCTGGTCACCGCCACTCCTGACCTAGTTGCTCTAGACCTGGCAGCTGCTGCTCCGGGCCTGGACGCACCCGAACCGGCTGCTCTAGGCCCAGCTGCTCCGGGCCCGGCCACTTCGGGCCTGGCCGCTCCCAGCCTGGCAGCCGCTGCTCCAGGCCTGGACACACCCGACCTGGCTGCTCCGGGCCTGGCCGCTCCCAGCCTGGCAGCCGCTGCTCCGGGCCTGGCTGCACCAGACCGGCTGCTCCGGGCCTGGTCGCTCCCAACCTGGCAGCCACTGCTCCGGGCCTGGCCGCACCAGACCCGGCTGCTCTGGGCCCGGCTGCCCCGGGCCCAGCCGCTCTGAGTCTGGCCGCTCCCAGCCTGGATGCTCCGGGCTTGGCTACTGCTGTTCTGGACCTGGCTGCTCCCAACCCAGCTGCTCTGGGCCCGGCTTCTCCGGGTCCGGCCACTCCGAGTCTGGGTATTCCTGGACTGGCCACCCTGGGCTTGGCTGCCTCCGCCTCAGGCCTGGCTGCCACTGCCCCAGGTCTGGCTGCTCCAGTGCTGGCTGTTGTTGCTCTGGTTCTGGCTGCTGCTGCTCTGGGGCCTGGCCGTTGCTGCTCCGGGCCTGGTTGCCATTGCTTTGTGCCTGGGCACTCTAGGCCTGGCCGCCGCTATTCCAACATTCTGTCCTTTTTTTTTTTTTTAAACGCATTTATGTTGCAATGTTGGCTGGTGAGTTGAGTTCTGACTTAGTCTTTGATTTTTCAAGATCTTCTTTGTATTTTTTCTTAAGTAATTTTACTATCTTTTGCTCTCACTTGATTTCTTCACATTGAGAACTTTGGTTTCTTCCTCCTTGTCCTGGGAGCTCAGCAGGTTGGCCTGTGGCACCCCTTTGTTCTCCGCGGGCTCCCACACTGCTCCAGCCTGTTGCCGGGGTCGGCGCTGCCCAGGAAGCAGCCCCCGGCCTTGGCTCCGTTGCCTGTGCTCAGAGGTCGATGGCTCAGGGGCACCCCCCTCCCTGGGGGCCCCGTCGCCCTGCTGCCTGCAGGCACCCAGCTGGCTGGTGTCCTGTCGCCCGGCTCCCTGCTGGCGCCTGGCTGGCTGGTGCCCGGCAGGGGCTCCTGCTCCCAGTCTGGAGCTTTTTTTTTTCTCCCTCCCGCTAGGGGAGTCTAGGATCAGAGTCAACAGACTGTCCTCTGTGCTAAGTGCGCGCGACTCTGGGGGCTCCGCTTTTCGGCACTCCCTTGGGATTCCGCCTCACAGCCCTGTCTTCCCCTGCCTGAGCCGGGGTCCCCAGGGTCTGGTCCAGGACTGGGGTTCAGAGCAGTCCGGACTGAGACTCAGTGCCACCGGAGGCTTTGTTTCTTCACGCTAGGGTAATCCAGCATCAGAGTCAACATTCAGTCCTCTGTGCGCAAAGTGTGCGCGACTCCGGGGGCCCTGCTTTTCGCTGCTCGCTTGGGATTCTGCCTCGCAGCCCCGTCTCCCCCACTGGAGCCTGGGTCCCCAGGGTCTGGCTCATAACTAGGGGTCAGCGCTGCCGGTTCGGGGGTTTAGCCCAGGCTGGGGGTTTTATTTCCTTCCTGCTAGGGAACGCCAGGCAGCACCCAGCCTTCTCCTCCTCTCCGGCTGCGACCTCTCCGCGCGCAGCATGTCTCTGTACCTTAGGCTTTTTTTCAGCTCCTCTGATTTTCCTTCTGGTTTTCTCTTTCCTTCTTGTTGTAGAATTTTCAGTCAGTCGACTACCTGTAGCTCTGGGCGATGTCCACTCTACATTTTAGTTGTATTCCATTGAAATTGTTGTGTGCTGCTGCGGTTAGGTATCTACCCGAGCAGCCATCTTGGATCCTCTCTCCCAAGGTATCTTCTTAATAGAATTACATCATAATTTTGAGTTAGATTGAAATTTAGTTTGTACTGTCTGAATATGAGTTTTAGGGACAGCTGAGTCATATGGAATACTATTCTTATATTTCCTTTCTGTTTGACTTCTCATTTCCCCTGTTAATAATAGTCTTTGCTTCTCTCTCTCGCTCTCTCTCTTTCTCTCTCTCTCTGTATGTATCCTATCTAATAATAGAGTAATATGCAAATTAACCATCACTCCCAGACAAAAATGGCAACCCCCATAGCCACAAGATGGCAATGCCCAGTCCCCTCAGCTCCGCTGCTGGAGTGTCCTGCCTGTCCACAGGAGCAGTGAAGCTGGATCCGCCTTCAGAGGGGTTTTTGATCTGCCCCAGACATGGGAGTCAGAGCCTGAACAGCAGGGCATGGGGGCTTCGTTCTCAGGGTGATGGCAGCAGTGGGGAAGTCCCAGGCCCGGCAAACAGAGCCAACACAGTAGGGCTTGGGGGCTTCCTTAGCACGGTGGTGGCGGGAACATCCCCAGGCCCAGCAGACAGAGCTAGGACAGCAGGACTTGGAAGCTTCGTTAGTGCTGCAGTGGTGGGGAAGTCCCCAGACATGGCAGGCAGAGCCAGACAGCAGGGCTTGGGGACTTCCTTAGTGTGTCGGTGTCAGCAAAGCCCCCAGGCCTGGCAGACAGAGCACACTGCAGGGCATTGGGGCTTCTTTGGCATGGCAGGCAGAGAGCAGTGAACAGGGCATGGGGGCTTCATCTCCATGGCTACAGCAAAACCTCCAGGCCCGCAGAGAGCAGAGAACCATGGGGAGTGGGCCTGAGCCATCAGTAGGACATCCCCTGAGAGCTCCTGGATTGTAGAGAATGCAGGTTGGGCTGAGGGACCCCCAGGCATGAATTTTGTGCACTGGGCCTCTAGTGTGTGTGTGTGTGTATGTATATATATATATACAACTAAAATGTAGAGTGGACATTGCCCAGAGCTACATATGTGTGTATATATATATATATATATATATATATATATATACATATTTATAATACATGTATATGTATTATATATAATATACATGTAAATCACTAATCCATCCTTAATTCTCCATGAAAAGTAGAGACCTTGAGTATTAATACATGTTTATGTTTCAGTCCAGTCCAGTGACTATCAATCCTGCAACACAGCTGCTCAAGGGTTTTATTTTACCATCATTTTGAGGATTTCTATTGCTTTTCTTTTGTATTAGATTTCTTATGTCTTAGATCCAGGGACTATCATGCTTTTGTTCTATCTTTATGTTTGATTGAGAAAATTAATTCCAGGTTGAAATGATATTTGCTCAACATTATATAGTAATTACTCCACTGTTTCTAGCTCCTAGTGTTAATATTGAGCAATCCAATGGTATTCTGGTTCTGGATCCTCTGTATTGTGACACTCCCTCATTTTTATCTCATGAGTCTCTTTTAGGATCAGCATGTTTCAGTGTGGGTTTCTTCCTGTTTCTTGTGAGGTCCTCTTTCTGCTATTTCTTTATTTTGGCTTTGACTCTACTATTAGAGGCTTTGTTCAACAATTCATGATCTCTGCTTTCCATTCCTATTAAAACAAGCTGCTGGAAGCTTTGTGGGGAGGATATGTCAATAAATTGGCAAACTGAGACCCATGGGCCAATCTGACCGACCTACTGCTTGTTTTTGTCTATCAATAAGGATCATTTTTATATTATTAAATGTTTAATAAAATTACAATAATAATATTTTGTGGCATGTGAAACTTTTATATTTTTATTCTAATTAGCTTACTGTAGAAAAAAAGAGAAGCCTAGTAGCTGCAATTCCTGTATGGAAAAAAATGATCTCACATTCCCCTCCATGGTCTTGTATTCTTCATTAAGTGCAGTTCTTACCTTTTCATAGCTCCTATCTCAGCTAGCAGAGATCCCCACACCATCACAATCAGTTGAGGCACCATATCTTCAGTCCTGCTTCCATCTAAATGATTTGAAAAGAAAATGGTGACAGAATTGTTCTAGATTAAAAAGAATAACAGTAGGCCCAATATGTTATTGTACTGCAGTGTTTCCCAAAGTGTGGTACGCTTACCCCCAGAGGTACGAGAAAAGATCGGTAAAGGTACGCGTTGCACCCAAGTTTGGTGGGGATATGCACTGCACCGTACTTAGCTGCGCCTAATACATTAATACATCCTTTTTTTCTTTTTTTCTTTTTGACGAGGGGTATGGAGCGTTATGAAAATTATAGAAGGGGTATACATATGTCAAAAGTTTGGGAAACACTGTGTATTGTATCAAGATGTGAAGGTCCCAGATGATCGTGTGGGATGTTTTGTACTGGAGAGGTAGGTTGGAGGCAGAAACATAGCAGAGATTAATGGGAACATATGCATTTTCAGTGTCTGATGTTATTTGAATCTTTGAGGTGAACAGGACCTTTCAAAGTGTTGATCAGGTCCCATCGCTCTGCTACTCAAATATCCCCATGGTTTCCCATCACATTTACCCCCAATTCAATCTCCAGGCCACCTCCTCTCCTGCTGGTTTACCCTTTGGTTGCTCTGCTCATCCCTCATTGGCTCCCTGACTGAGCTCAGCTAGTTTCCTTCCCAGAGTCTTCAAATTTGTTCTTTCCTCTGCCTGGTACCTAAGATCTTCAGATGACTTAATCCCTTACTTCATTTAAGCATCTGTTCCAATGTTACCTCCTCAAGGAGATCTTTCCTAACCACCCTCTCTAAAATAGTTTCCACTCATCACCTGTCACTCTGAACCCCCTTTTTTTTTTTTTTTCCAGTGAGTTGTTTGTCTGTTTCATCTCAGACCCATTCCCCATCTCCCTCTACTCTCTGTGTACTGCAAAGGTTGATTCTTACAAATTACATATCTCAGCCTCTTTACCAATTGGCTTCCAATTAAGTTTGTTTAGAGAGAGACATTCATCTTTTGTGGGAGGAAAGAAGGAAGGAAGAGAGGCAAAATTCAGGAGATTTCTCCACTTTTCTCTCTCTTTTGGGTGGCATTTTTGGAAATGACTATATGTCATCTGGTTCCAGCATCTGCAAAGTGGTCTTGGCTTCTGGGCTTTGATAACAGGACCTCTTCCCTTCATTCTTTAGCCTTAGGGGCAATTGCAAATCTCTGGAGTGTCTTATTGTCACCTATGGCTCTTTAAGAGTTTCTGACACCAATGCAACTAATTCCTCAAATTAAATTCTGGACTTCTGTTCATTGGACTACTGTTTTTCTGATAGGGTCTTCACTGATATATCCTGCTTTATGTTTTCCATAGCCAGTATCACTACTTGTTATATTATTTTGGTTTAATTGTTTATTTTCTTTCTCCTCCATTAGAATATGACTCCAGAGAGGTCCACATACTTGAGGACTCTATAGAGTAAGCATTTAAACCTGCTGAAAAATAGAAGACCATACATTCCCATTCCTCATCACTTATCAGAGAACTGGGGAAAAAAAATTCATGCTTGAGTTTCTCCTGGAGAGCAGGGGGAAGGAAGCATGCACATTGAGAAAGGTGGTGCCTGGGTCAGTTGCTACAGTGAAAGCTCTCATTGTTCTTAGAAGTTCTCTTTTATGCTTCTAGCTTCAGGAAGAGACTTATCCAAGTTCCAACTCAAGGAACCAATTGAGAATAATGGGAACTGGTCCTGTGGAGGGGAAGAAGCCCAGCTGAAGTTGGTGAGCACAGTAGAAGATGGAACTTGTGGACTGCAGGGGGAGGAAGAGGCGGAACTTTCCACTAAGCTGAGCAAGTAGGAACTCTCATATTAAAACAAGAATAGCTAACGAATGTGTGACACCTAGTTTGTGTCCCCTCATAAGCATTTTGCATTATTAAATCTAATATGAATCTATGTGAATAACAATGTATAAAACTGTATTAAACCACATATTTAAAAATACCAAAATTAACTGCATGTTATATATGTTTTTAAAAGCTGGGCAATTTAATTTGTTCTTGAAATACTGATTTACTTTTTAACAGAACAAATCATAGAGATCAATAAATAAACCAGTAAATATCAATCCCAGACACACACCAGCATATAGAATGAGAGAGGATAACTGCTTTGCTAAACATAAAAATGACAGATGGAAATGAAGGATGACTTCTAGTCTCCTCACAGAGGGCTGTGCACAAGTGATATGTGGGCCTCTCTTCTACTTCATAATATTTTTAGTAGTTGCTTTCATTTCCAAAGGTTATTTAGTAATATGGGTCTTAATTTCAACTAGGTAGAATCGCTTGGGTATATTTATTATTCATTCTAATTTTATTGGATTATGATTACAGAATGTGGCCTGTAAAATCTCTGATTTAAAATTTTTGCTGAGGACATTTTTTTTTGTGTGTGTCCCATGATATGACTCATTTTGTAAATATGCCCTGGGCATGTAGGAAGAAAAAGAATATATCTACACGAAGCACCTCTACTTATATTATTAGGAGTTTGTTTACTATATTTTTGACTCCTGTTTTCATATTTATTTCTTCTTCTTACTTTTCAGCCCACTTCTGAAACAGGTACTTTAAAATCTGCCACTATATATTATTTATGTTTTGCACTTCTAGAGATTTTTTCCAAGAGAATTTAATGACTAATCTTAGTCAATTTTGTAATTTTGTCTTTGTGTCTCCCCCACCCAACTTTATATATTTCCTCTTTCTAAAGTCATAAAATGTGTCTTTTGTTTGCTTTGCTCCCTTTTCACTCTGGACTAGTTATATGTTGGGTCTTAAATACTTTTAAAAAATATTTGTTTAATTGATGTTTGCACTGGAAATATAGAAATATGCAAATATAAAAATAGAATGCAGAATCTTTAAAACACCAATACAACAGCTTTACAAATTACGATGGGAAGAGCTATGGAAATATGAATGGATAAGGAAAATTATTTTTGGAATTATAAGGAATCAGTAAAGCAGAATTTTAGCATTAAATCATATAATTGAAAACGATGAAAGTACCAACAACACAATAAAAATGGATGGAGGATATAAACTCATTCACAGAGACAGAAATGCAAAGCCTTTTCTCAAATACCAGGAGGGATACTCAACCTCACTCATAGTAATAGAGATTGATATTAAACTGATAGGAACTTCTGATTCTGGACAAGATAGAGTAAGGGGACCAAGTATAACCTTCTTCCTTAGAAAAGTAGAAAGCTGAACAAAATATGTGAGGCAATGGTTTTCAGATATTGCACAAATGCAGCCCCAGGGTTGTGATCCCCGAGAAGAAGAAACAACAAAAAAAGAGAGCCGTAAGTGCTCCAGCTTACTTTGCTAGGAGACAGCGCATAAAGAGGGAGCCCAACAGAGCTGGGCTATCTTACTCAGAAGAGGAGAGAACTTAGAGTTCAGGGAAGCCCAATGGTAGAATCTGTGGGGCAGATACTAGAAAGGAGGGACTGGATCAGAGAAAAGGCACTGGAAATCTGAAGGGGGTTCCCTTGAGTCTTTCACTGATTACCAATCTACTCATTCTTGAGATTAAATTACCTTCAGCTGGGCTAAATGCCACTGACATCCATAAGCAGACAAATCTAGGATCTCACCCAAGGCTGGAGTAGTCTGTGTTTACATCAGCCAGAGTGGGAAAATCTAATGCTTGGTCATTGGGTAGAATCTTAAGAAGGAGATCTAAATTGGTTCTAGACTACAGTCTGATGTGGACATATTTTAGCAGTTTAAAAGCAAGCCTTTAAGTAAAACAACTTATTTAAAATTACTTAATTGTCCATAAAAACACAACACTACTTGAAAGAATAAAAGAAATCTGGCAAAAGAACAACATAAATCATAATGTCCAAATATCTACCAGCATGTAAAAGTATAAATAAATTCAATATAAACACTCAGACAGAAATGATAGAACTAACAGACAAGAATGTGTAAAAAGCTATCATAAATGTTTTCTATGTCTCAGAAAATAAAAATAATATGAGAAGAGAAATGGAAGATAAAATAATGGTATTTGTATATTTTCAAATAAATGAAAACTCAATGTTTGAAATAAAAATATATTGAGAGAGGTTAATATCAAGTTAGTATCTGTAGAATAAATGGTCAATGAACTTGAAGACATAGCAATAGAAACTATCTAAAATGAAGAACATGGAGGCAAAAAATGATGCAAAATATAACAGTAGCAGTAATCTATAAGGCAGTATTAAGTGTTGTAATGTACATTTAATTAGAGCTCTATAAAAGAATGTGAGAATACAAAAATTATTTTAGAGAAATACTGATAAAACATTTTCCAAATTTGAAATTAAACCCTTAAACCAAAGACATTCAATAAATTGAACATGCAAAAAAACAGAACAAAGCATATCAAAACCACTGACAAAAATATCTTAAGAGCAGAGAGAGAATAGACACTTTATGCACAAAGAACTGAGATAGGGATGCTAGAAAAATTCTTACCAGATGCTATGCAAACCAAAAGATGTAGAGAGATATCTTTATCATACTAAAGGAAAATAAATGTGTTAGTCTAGAATTTTTTAACCAGTCAAAAAGAGTTAAAAAGAAAAAAAAGAGAGAGAGATTTAGTCATATAAAAGCTGAAGGAAATCATAACCAGCACATATTACTAAATAACCTTTGGAAATTTGGAACTTTACAAAATATTTTTTAAAAATTCATCAGGAAGCCCTAGCTGGTTTGACTCAGTGGGTAGAGTGTTGGTCTGTAGACTGAAAGGTCCCAGGATTGATTCCAGCCAAGGGCACACGCTCAGGTTGTGAGCTCTATCCACACTTGGGGACGTGCAGGAAGCAACTTATAAATGATTCTCTCTCATCACTGATGTTTCTATCTCTCTCTCCCTCTCCTTTCCTCTCTGAAATCAATAAAAATATATTTAAGAAATTCATTAGGGACAGGGTAAACAATACCAGAGAGGTAAATCTGGATTTATACAAAGAAATGAGAAGCACTAAAAATAGAAAATATATGGGTGATATAACAAGCATATTTTTCTTAAAAATTTATTTTTAAAGCTAATTACCTATTCAAAGCAAAAACTATCAGCAATGTATTGTGGAAATATAGCATATATAGTAATAAAATAGATGACAATATTGACACAAAGGATAGAAGGAAGGAAATGAAAGCATAATGTTATGAAATTCTTATACTATACATAGGTAAAATATACACAGGCTAAAAAAATACTTAAACCTAGACGGTGATAAAAGAAAGACATAAACTGCAAACCCTAAGACAACCACAGAAATTAAAACAAACAAACAAACAGAGATACACCTAATAAGTCAGTAGTGGAGATAAAATGGGAAAATAAAAAACACTGAGTTAACCTAAAAGAAAGTAGGAAATGGGATATAATGAAATAGGAAATAATATATTTAAATTCAACCACATTGTTAATCACATTGAATATATATAGTCTAAATGCCCCAATTAAAATGAAGAAATTGTCAGATTAGATAAAAATGCAGGATTCAATGATGTGATATTTATAAGAAACACATAAATCTAAAGATTATATATATATATATATATATATATATATATATATATATATAATTTGTTTGAGAGAGAGAGAGAGAGAGAGAGAGAGAGAGAGAGAGAGAGAGAGAGAGAGAGAGAGATTGGCTGCCTCCATAAGCCATAAGCACCCTGTCTGGGGACCAAACTCAAAACCTGGGTATGTGGGTATGTGCTCTGACCAGGAATTGAACTGGTGACCTTTGGGTGCATGGGATGACACTCAACCAACTGAACTACACCAACCAGGGCAACAAGTCAGTTTTTGAAGAGGACATAATTCTAAATGTGCATGCAACTAATAACTGTGTTTCAAAATATATGAAGCAAAAGCTGATAGTACTTAAAGGAGAATAGATAAATACACAATCATAGGTATGGATTTAACACTACTCTTTCAGTAATTAATAGCACTACTCTTTCAGTAATTAATAGAACAAGTAGATAGAAAATTAGAAATTGTATAGAACACTCTATAGTATCAATCAACTAGACCTAATTTGCATAGAAAACTTCATCTAATAACAGAAGAATACATATTCTTTTCAAATGAACACAGAACATTTATCAGGATAGACCAGGCTCTGTGTTATAAAACAAGCCTCAATAAATATAAAATGATTGAAATCATACAGAGTATGTTTTCTAACAAAAACAAAAAGGTTAAAAATTGATACAGAAAAGATATCTGAAAATCCTAAAGATGTAAAAATGAGTCAACACACTTCTGAATAATCCCTGGTTTTAGGAAGAAATTACAATGGTAAATTAGGAGTCTTTAAACTGAATGAAATTGAAAACATGATAAAACAAAATCTGTGATGTGCAGCTAAAACAGTGCTTATTAGAAGGAAATATATACCGTCAAGTGCATATATTAAAAAGGAGAATAGTCCTTTATTTATTTATTTTTTGGTACAGAATAACTGTTTTTCACTAAGGTGAAAAGGAATTAAATATGTAATTCAATTTCCAACTAGCCATTCAAAACTGGCTTCTCTCACACAGTTTATATTTCTTACAATAACTTTAACATAACTTTTATTTGTTCATCATAAAAGCTGAAATAAATTTAAATATCTGAATTTGATAAACTCTATAAAACATTTCACCTATGAGGAAGAGGTATATCTTACATTGGTGTAGGCACCAAATTTGTTCCTTTGTCCTTCAGATGACTTTCATTCAAGTTCAGTGATGCCATAGCAAGATCATATGTCTCTATCTAACCAGCTTTTAGATTGATGGAGAATTATCATGTCAA